GTCACCTAGAGGGAGGCCAGGAAAAGTTTCCCAGCCATTACACGTCGGACCAGCAAACGAGAGAGAAGAGGATGCACAGAAATGTACAGCAGGCCGAGGGAACAGCACCCACCGGGCCACAGAAACCACGGCTCCCTCAGGAAATGTGGTGGCTGGAGCACAAGGAGGGCAGGGAGGAGAAATGAGCACAGAGGGACAGGCAAGGTGGATCACAAAGACCTCATGAAGGTCTTGTAAAGTCTGCTTCAGCAGCTCGGACCTTACCCTGAGAGCCAATAGTCACTGAGGCTTCCAAGCAGGAGAGCTGGTCAGACCTGGCCTTTGGCATATCAGTGCTAGGATTTTCCCTCCAGTTTACATCAGCCGTGACAATTATTACTGTCAGCGGAGGACTCCTGCAAAGTCTCCTCTTACCTTCCAGAACACTGGGCAGGGTTTTCCTAGTGTCCCCTGGAGGAGGACCATCCATCCATCTATCCCAGCTTGTGACTCCTGGCTCCCCCTGCCAGCCTTAGTAGGCACTTGCCTTAGGACTGATTATACCGTCATTCCTAAACCACTAGCTATTATATAAACCGATGAAATCAAACCTCAGATAAATCTCAGCCCTTTCCAGAAGCTTAATGCAGAGGAAGCCCCTTGTGAAATTCTCTGAGGGCAGGCCTGTTCAGCCACTCAGGGCCCTGTAGGCTACATTCATGAACCTTAGGGCACACCACCATCAATACCTCACTCATCCTTTTTTTTTTTTTTTAAGATTTTATTTATTTATCTGAGAGAGAGAGAGAGATCACGAGCAGAGGGGAGGGGTAGAGGGAGAAGCAGTCTCCCCGCTGAGCAGGGAGCCCGATGCGGCCCTCGGTCCCAGGACCCTGGGATCATGACCTGAGCCGAAGGCAGACACTTAACGACTGAGCCACCCAGACGCCCCTCACTCATCTTTATTAGCACAAATACCAATCTGCTGGCACCTGCTGGTATATTCACTCTCCTCTCCTGTCTCCCAGTGCCACCCCAGCTTAGGGTTTCCTCTTGTCCTGTGTCCAAGTGTCTGCTATTAGGCCACAGTCTATGGCTCATGCTCTGAGCTTGAGGATTTCCCATGACAATGAGCTCTTGGGAATTTTCTCTCCCCAATTCAGTTATGTCTGACATTTTTCTCTATAAGGACACACATTCTGACTTACAGATCTTTTCACTTCTACAAAGTGCTTCATGAAATCACTGGGATTCATGTCACTCACAATTAAGAATGACCATTAGGAGAAAAAACAACTTGGCTTCTTGCTTTCAGCTGCACCATATAGCAACAGTGGCACAAGGAGGAACCCTGAAATTATCCCTAAGATTTTCAGCCCGCATTCACCTGGTGAGTATTTTACTACCTCAAAACACCAAAAGCACGAAGTTTCTTTTTGCAGGTAAGCAAATAAGCAATACAGTTACCCGCTGTTCTGAAATACAGTTTCTTGGTTACTTGCTCTGAAATGATGCATTTCTTTAAAATGCACTGAGAGTCTTTAGTAAGTTCATTATCTTCAGTGTAATTTAAAAAGCCAAATGTTGATCTCTGCTTTGTGCCACTCTGGTGTGCTATCCCTGAGAGGAGGATAGATGATTTCTACAACTATCCCTGCCCACAGGAGGCCAGGTCGGGCTCTATTTATCATCTCTAATACAGTAGAGATGTGCTAATGAGCAGCGCCTCAAGAAAACACCATGAAGTGATGGGCACAGACACCTTTTTAAAAGCATGTCTTTCTCCACTCACTGTACTAGACTCAATTAGGGAGTGGAAAGCAAAAGGGGCTTGTTGTCTGTCTTGAGTAAAAGCTCCCTGGCATCTCCAAAGAGGTCCTTCACATTGACATTAATAAGCTCAGTGAGGATGTCTCAGGCTAAGAAACCTGAGACAGCACGTCAAAATGAACCTTTTTCTCAGGACATTATTGAGACGATTGACAGAATTTAAATAAATATGGCATTTATGGCATTTCCCTCACGTGTGCTTGGAGGAGCCCGCATTTCTTATTTAGAGCTTTTGTTACAATAGGCGAGCGATGTTCCGAATAGAAGGGGCTTCACTGCTCAGTAGCATTGCTGGAGATGGAGGCTGGGGTTGGCAAAAGCTGTAGTAACAATGCCTAGTGTTGACTCAGTACTTTGTGCCCCACACAGTGCTGAGGGCTTTACTGGCACTATTCTGTGACCCTCCTTATGGAGTAGTGACCGTTATTGTCACCAAGACTTAGAAATGTTATTGTGCCCACAGTTCTACAGTCAAGAGTTCCAGAGAGAAAATGCTGTGGCTGAAACTTCTGGCTATTTACATTTACATGAAGTAAAACTAAAAATGTATACTTCTGAAGCCAATATTACACTATGTGTTAACTAATTATAATTTGAACAAAAACTTGAAACAAAATAAATTTTTAAAGTAAAATTAAAAATTTAGTTCCACATTTCAACTGCTCAGTAGCCACATGTTGCAGGTAGCTACCACATTACAGCCACGTGTGGCTATAGCGTGAATATAGAACTTTACCATCATCGTAGGAAGTTCTCTTGGACAGTACAATATAGAAGGGAATGACAAAGCAGTAAGATGGAAGGAGCCCAGATCCCACAGTGACCCCATGGACAGTGGGAGTTGGATAGGACTGCAGTGTTTGAAGGCACCTGAATGGAACAGGCTAACACAGCTGGTCAATGGGACCACTGGACTCCGAGCACTGGCTAAGGTTCAAGCTACCCTACCTAACAACTTGTCTCTGGAACTCCTCCTTCTTTCACGACTAATCAGTGCCCTCTACTGATGGGCACATTCTTCTTCATATATTTGATCAGGTCTAGTTGAGTCTGGGAGCAATTCAGCCTCTGAAATGTGTGACTTAGAGGTTCCACTTTCAGAGGGCAATCTTCCTAGCTTATTTCCAAATTCCTGGGGAGGTCTACCATCGCTCACCTACTGGAGCATATCATTATGAGCAAAGGGCTCTGATCTTGTGCTTCTGAGCAAAGCCTCACACTTGTTTTCCTTTACATTTCACCAGATCTTGCAAACAGGGACAACACGTTTCTGAGGTTCAGGTAACCTGCAGTGAAAGAGCAGTGAGAATTCTGTTTTGTGATGGATACACTGCTTAGAATCTGGGAGGCTTCTGGGCCACAATCCACAGGAAAAGTGTAATTGTCATTTCTCAGGAAACTCAGAGTTCATCCCTAAGGTTGTCACAGCCTTAACCTGATCTGGCAGAACAGAACACATCCAGTAAGTGGTGGTCTAAGGGTGGCTATCTTCACCAAGGGCTCAGGAAGTCAGCCTCCCCCTGCTGGTTATGGCCCAGGAATGCGGGAGCCTCTGGACTCCTGGGCCACCTGAAAGCTTTATGCCAGCATTCCAATACCACTTCTCACCATGACATGGTTACTTTATAAATGATGAACCAGTTCAACAGACACGCATGAAGGACCCATGAGCCAGGCACTCTGCATCGTGAGGACTGTACAGACAAGGAGTGTTGATACACTAGAGATCACATTGAGTAGATTCAACAAACAGCTTTGCAGATAGTCTCACTGAGGCCCTCCTTTGGTTTGAATCTTTCTCCACACTGTTCTGTGCCCAGTCCTTTCCTTGATGTGGGACCTTTACCAGATGACCTACAAAATCTGGTTACTCCCCTCTTACTTCTTAAAGAGTGGTTGTGGTTGTTTTCCTTTAATTCCTCTCTATTCCAGACATTCTACATTCATACTCTACCACCCCCTGCCCTTAGAAGGGAGATTTATATTTTCCTGTAGATCAGTAGTCTGTGGACCACTGGTGGGAAGGAAATGACTTGGGAATTTATTTGAAAAAACTGTAATAGAGATTCTTGGAACTCCACCCCCTGAGATTCTAATTTATTAGGCCTGGGGTATTAAGGTGCAGAAATGGGCATTTCAAACAAATGCCACAGATGAATCTGAAATATGGTCAAGTGTTTCAGTCAGTTTCCTGCTGCTCTCCTTAACTACTACTTTCCAAGTACTTTGCCTTCCTCCTGATAGATCACCCAAACCTTCCCTTAAAAACCAAAATTTAGCCAGGACCTAAGGGAGGGTAGAATGGGGAGTTACTGTTAATGGCTATAGTTGCAGTTTGAGAAGATGAAAAATGTTCCGGAGATGGAGCGCCTGGGATGGGGCGCCTGGGTGGCTCAGTCATTAAGCGTCTGCCTTTGGCTCAGGTCATGATCCCAGGGTCCTGGGATCGAGCCCCACATCGGGCTCCCTGCTCCGCGAGAAGCCTGCTTCTCCTTCTCCCAGTCCCCCTGCTTGTATTCCCTCTCTCGCTGTGTCTCTCTCTGTCAAATAAATAAATAAAACCTTAAAAAAAAAAAAAAAATGTTCCGGAGATGGACGATGGTGATGGTTGCACAATAATGCGAATGTACTTAATGCCACAGAACTATACACTTAAAAATAATTAAAACAGGAAATGTTAGGTTATATATATTTTGCCACAATTTAAAAAATAAAGGAATGGATATTGCTACACGCTCTAACATAAACAAACCTTGAAAACATTACCTAAGTGAAAGACACCAGATACAAAATACCACTTATCTTATGATTCCACTAATATGGAGATATTTTAAAATTGACTGTGGTGATAGCTGCACATATCTGTGAATATACTAAAAACTACTGAAATGCACACTTTAAACGGGTGAATCGTATACTATGTGCATTATATCTCTGTAAAGCTATTAAAATTTAACTGGTTTTAAATCTAGGATCACATTTATTTAAACTTCTGAAGACCTTAAGTGACATCCCATAAATTCTGAAATCACATTCTGGTGACATATTGGAAAAAAGCAAATGAAAGCAAATAAATCAAAGGACTGAGGCTTAGAACAGATGGCAAGAAAGATCAGAAGGTCTGTGGCTGGGCATGGTGGCTCTCCAGTCATCATTGCAAGGACAAAGGCAAGATTATAAAACACACTAGGTTGAAATTGATCAGAGACCTTTATTATAGTCCTCATCATTCATTAAGCAACCTACACAAATCATTTTCTTTTCCTCTGCCTCAATAGAGGCTGTCTCCAAGCCTGAAATGGAAGACACAGTAGTGGAAGACCTTGTAGAGAAAAGTTAATAGGTGAGATCTCTGCTTATCCCGGCTTAGGTGAAGGGGGAACAGGAAAAGCATGTGAGTACAATATTCCAAACAGTCTGTTCTTCAAAGCTGAGGCCTGCAGGAGAGGGGCTGGCCAAAGGATGCAGGTGAAAGCTCACAAAACTGCCGAGCTCAGCCATCAATCCAATGTTCCTAAAAAAAAAAAAACAAAAACAAAGAGCAATATGTAAAGCAAGGTGCCTCAAGAACTGGATGAGTGTGACAGACTGGGCAAAGTTCAAGTGGAAGCTGCACTGATACTGGCAGGTCTCTAAGACCGAAATACTCATTTTGAGGCATATCCATCCAAAAGATCTCAGAGGATAAACATGTCACTACAGAAATTGGGCAGCTGGGAATTAAGCATACTGGTCCAGAGAGTTAGAATTAGAAGTAGGGAAAGGGCAAAGAGGTTGCCGTGTTAGTTAATGAGCATTTGGAGATTCCAGACAAAGCATGATACAAAATAAATAAGTTTTCTAAGCAAAAATTTATAATCTTTTGATAAATTTCCAGTTCAAGATGGGGGACTGAGCCCACAAGTTTGTATGTCCTCCCATCCAAGATTCCATTCAAAAGGAAATAAGGTTTTAAACAAAGAATGGGGCCCATCAGCAGTTAAGAGATTTCAACAAAAAGCTGAGTAATAGAAATCTGATTGAAGTATGTTTATAAAAGAGCAAGAAAAAACATAAGCTAGAATGACTAGAAGGAGCAGCAGAGGTGGGAGCCCATCTGCCCAAGAGACTCTTGGACAGTCTCCACACGGACACAGACACCAGGAAAAACAGAAAGAAGCATAGGCTAGAAAGGGTTAATGACTTGAGGGTCTACGTGAGAAACAGTTGGCCCCACCTCCCTACAACCTTCCAGCATGTAGCATTACCAGAAGACAAAACACTTAAAGCTAAATGGAAAAAAATCAGAGGGCTCTCTTCCAATAAACTAAATAAATTATCTGAAGAACTAGAGAAGCCTCTGAAAATGCCAGCTCCCCACAATAAGGCTTTCGGGGCCCCAGTATAACATAACAACCACCCTAAAGTAAAAGTGCCAAGCAAAAACCACCTTCCCATGTATACACAGCTTCCAAACAGCCTTCGTACTCCCTCATTTCTAAACAGAATGAAAAACTGCAAAATGAAAGGAAAAACTAAAATTTATTTTTAAAAAAAACCTAGAAAACAGATAATTCAGAGAAAAGAACATATAAGAAAACAAAGCAAAAATAACTCTAAGTTTAAAAAAAAGGAAACAGCCTCTTCTTTTGATAAAGGCAAATTCCAGCTGAGATCAAATGATAAAGCTGACTGAAATATTTTTAAAAAGAAAAGCCTTCAAGCACTGAAGAGGCATCAATAACAGTGAAATCCAAGATCTAGAGAAAGCAAGAACACAATGTAACCCAGCCTCCAAATCTGCTTTTGCCCTGAGGTCATTTGCCAGTCCAAAAGACAGAGCTGAGAAATTCTGGCTGAGTCAAATCTAAGACTCTGCCCAAGTGGAAAGGTTGAATTTTTTAAAAAGCTGTAATCCCAAAAGGCTATACCCGCAGAGTAAAGCTAAACTAGAATTAAATCAGCCCCCTCACAGACCTGCAGGCAGGGTTCACATATATTAATTACCACAGTGAGCCAAGAATCCTCAAGTCTTGGATTAGGATTAAGGAGATCCTGAATTTACACATTCCCCTAGGTACCTTGCAGCAGCAAATGAAAATCTTTGGAGAAACGTTTCATCACACAGGCCTCTAACTATCCAACAAATAATTTTTTCAAGTACAATGACCAATACACCAAGATAACTAGGCATAAAGAAGAAAAAAGACCATGAAACACTATCAACAGAACAAGTCAGGAAAAAAAAAAAACAAGTCAGCCTCAAAAGGCTGTGGATATTAGACTGGACAGAGACTATAAAACAACTGCACTTACTTTGTTTAAAGAAATAAAAGACAAGCTTCAAAACATCTGGAGCGAATACAATAACAAGTGACAAAGTAGATTTGAAAAATAAGCAAATGGAATTCACAGAACTGAAGATACAGAAACAAAACAAACTAAAATATCAATAGAAAAGTTTAAAGGATACAAGACCACCAGAGAAAGAATCAGTAAGCTGGGAGATCAGAAAAAACTACACAGAAGCATAGAGAGGCAAAATAATGATTGAGGTTTAATATACATTTAATGGGAATCCGAATGAGAAAGAAGAGAGAAAGAACAAAGCAGAGCCATTATCTGAAAAGATACTAGCTGAGACTTCTCCAGAACAGATAAAAGACATCAATCCTTAGATTTAAGAAGCCTAAGCAGACCAGAGAGGGAAATCTGCACGTAGATACATCCAACTGAATCTAAAGAAAAATCAAAGACAAATATAAAATCTTCAAAGTAACCAAAAGAGGACAAATTAGCTTCAAAAGATTAACAGATTAACAGTGATTTCTCATCAGAAACAATGGAAGCCAGGCACCTGGGTGGCTCAGTCGTTAAGCGTCTGCCTTGGGCTCAGGTCATGATCCCGGGGTCCTGGGATCGAGGCCCGTATCGGGTTCCCTGCTCCACGGGAAGCCTGCTTCTCCCTCTCCCACTCCCCCGGCTTGTGTTCCCTCTCTCGCTATCTCTCTCTCTGTCAAATAAATAAATTTTAAAAATCTTTAAAAAAAAAAAAAAAAATGGAAGCCAAAAAACAGTAGAATGACAGCTTCAACATGATAAATAACTTTCCACCTAAAATTCTATATTCAGCAAGATACCCTTAACAATGAAAATAAAGGCTTTTTCACCACCACCACCCTCCAAAAAAACCATACTAAAGAAGACCCATACTAAAGGAGTTCTAAAGGATTTACTTCAGAAAGAAAGAAAATGATCACAAATGGAGAAGCAGAAATATAAGAGGGGCAAAGATATAAATATGTGGATAAATTCATATATCTTTGCCTGTATAATACAGCAGTAACAGTGCCTTATGTGGATTGACAAAAACAAAACAATGCATGACAATAATAGCATGTATGGGGAAGAGGGCCTTGTATAGGGAGTTAGTAGTTCTAAGATCTTATTTTCTTGAGGACAAGATAAAGGTACTATCTTTAGGCTCTGATAAAATAAGGATGCATACAGTAACTGGTACAGTAACAAAAGAATAAAGTATATAAGTTCTTGAGAGAGGTAAAAAATGAAATAATAAATTGACTTAAAAAGGGCAAAAAATTGAAAAGAAAAAAACATAAAATAGGACAAATAGGAAGCACAAAATAAGATGGCAGATTTAAACCCATATATACCACTAATTACATTAAACATAAATGAACTAAGTGCTCCAGTTAAAGAAAAAGACTGTCAGCCTAAATTTTAAAAAATAACCCAGTTATATTCTGTTTACAGATATGGAAAGGTAAAGATAAAAAGATAAAAAAAAAAATACATACCATGCAAATACTAACAAAGAAAACTGGAAAATTTTAGAAGTGTTAGACAAAATAGTCTTTAAGGCAAAAAGCACTACCAGAAGTAACAATAGTTAACTTATAAAAAGTCTCAAACACTTAACTACTAGTAGCCTACTGCTGACCAGAAGTCTTGCCAATAACATAGCTGATTAGCACATATTTTGTATGTTATGTGTATTATATACTGTATTATTACAATAAAGTAACCTAGAAAAAAGAAAATGTTATTAAGAAAATAAGGGAAAAAATTACATTTACAGTGCTATACTGTAAAAAATCCCCACATACCCACAGAATTCAAACCTGTGCAGTTTGGGGCACCTGGCTGGTTTAGTCAGTAGGGTATGCAACTCTTTTTTCTTTCTTTTCTTTTTTTTTTTTTAGGATTTTATTTATTTAGAAAGAGAAAGAGCGTGCATGTGAGTGGGAGAGGGAGGAATCTCAAGCAGAATACCTGCTGAGAAGAGAGCCCCATGCAGAGCTCAGATCTTAAAACCCTGAGATCATGACCTGAGTTGAAATCAAGAGTCCCGACACATAACAGACTAAGCCACCCAGGCTCCCCAGGCATGCAACTCAGCCCCACATTGGGCATGGAGACTACTTAAAAAAAAAAAAATGCCCCCTTGGGGCGCCTGGCTGGTTCAGTCAGAAGAGCATGCACTCCTGATCTTGGGCTCATGATTTTGAGTCCTATAGTGGGTGTAGAGATTACTAAAAAAATAATAATAAACTTTAAAAAACAAACAAAAAACCTGTGCTGTTCAAGGGTCAGCTATACTATGAAGAACTTCATGCCAACAAATCTGAAAATTTAGATAAATGTAAAATTCCTAGAAAAACTATAATTAGAGGGGGAAGCAGGACAGGACTGCCTCAAAAAATAAAATAAACCCAAAATGATTCCAACATCATCCAAAAAAATTTAATCAGAAATCTTCCCATAAGGAAAATTCTAGCCAAGATGACTTCATTGGTGAATTCTACCATTCAAATAAATAATGGGGTGCCTGGGTGGCTCAGTGGGTTAAGCGTCTGCCTTCAGGTCAGGTCCTGACCCCAGAAGTCCTGGGAGCGAGTCCGCATAGGACTCCCTGCTCAGCAGGAGTCTGCTTCTCCCTCTGCCCCTCACCCCACTCACTCACTCTCGCACGCGCGCTCTCTCAAATAATAAAATCTTTAAAAAAAATTTAAACTAGGGCGCCTGGGTGGCTCAGTTGGTTAAGCAACTGCCTCTGGCTCAGGTCATGATCCTGGAGTCCCGGGATCAAATCCCGCATCGGGCTCCCTGCTCAGCGAGGAGCCTGCTTCTCCCTCTGACCCTCCCCCCTCTCATGTACTCTCTCTCATTCTCACTCTCTCAAATAAATAAATAAATCTTTAAAAAAAAATAAAATAAATTTAAACTAAAAAAAAAAACAAATAAATATTTCCAATCTTACAAAGTTTTCTAGAGAACACATAAAAAGGGTACACACACTCTCCAACTAATTTGTATGAGGTTCACATTCAATAGGGAAAAAAATGCCAATCTCTCTTTAAAAACAGTGATACAGGGGCACATGGATGGCTCAGTCAGTTAAGTGTCTGCCTTAGGCTCAGATCATGATTTCAGGGTCCTAGGATCCAGCCCGCATCAGGCTCCCTGCTCAGTAGGGAGTCTGCCTCTCCCTCTCCATTTGCCCCTCCCCCACGCTCATGCACGCACACACATGCGCACACTTTCTCACTCTGAAATAAAATCTTCATAAATAAATAAAATTTAAAAATAGCGATACAGCATTTGCAATCTGTTAAAATTAATCTACAAAAAACACAGAGTTAAGTTTAATTATTGGGGACACACTGAAAGCTTTCCCTTTGAAATCAAGATGACTGCTACCAGCACACCTATTCAACACTACACTGGAGAATCTAGCCAAGAAAAAAGGAAAGAAAAAAGAAAAAGATAAGGATTGGGAAAACTTCACAAAATTGCCACTACTAGTGGGTATTACTATGTAACTACGGAAATCCAAAAGAATCAACACAAATCATTAGAATTAGCGTTGAGCAAGATGCTAGGTACAAAATTAAGACATAAAACCAGTTATATTTCTATATACTAGCAACATATGAAAATTAATTTTTTCTTAGAAAGATGCCAATAACAAGAGCATCAAAATTAAGTACTTAGAGGAAAGCATCTAACAAAATATGTCAAGATTTCTTCCTATAAAATAAAAAAACTTTATTTAAAAAAACAATAAAGATCTAAATAAATGGAGAAATATACTATGTTCATGTACTGAAAGACTATTATAAATATATTCTTTCTCTCCCTAAGTAATCTATAGATTCAGTGCAATCCAATCAATACCCTTTTTCTGTGGAATTTGGCAAGCATATTCTAAAATATACATGAAAATGCAAAGAATCAAAAATAGCCAAGACACTTAAAGAACAAGGTAGGAAGATCTGTTCTTTCAGATAAAGCTACCATAATTGATACAGTGTGGTACGGACATGGTAATAGACACAACGGATCAACAGGTGAACAGAAAATCGAGGAACAGCCTTGATCTATCACAAAAGTAGCATGGCAGAGAAAATTATATGGAAAAGTGGCTATCTAAATAATAAGAAAAAAATTAGACCCTTACCTCAGTCTGATACACAAAAAAGTCAACTGTAGTTTTATGAAAGATAAGAAAACTATAAAAATTTTAGCATATAGGAGAATGACTTCATGACCTTGGGATAGGGAAAAAAGTCTTAAACAGGAAACAAATAGCATTACCTATAAAAAAAAAATTAACACATTTGACTACCTTTAATTGAGAACTGGTTTATCAAAAGATACCCTAAAGGGTGAAAAGACAAGTCATAAACCAGGAAAAGATATCTGCTTCCCATATGATGAAAAAGATTCACATTCAGAAAAAAAAATAAATAAAAAGCACACACACACACACATATATATAATCACAGATACAGTTATAAATCAGTAAGGAAAAAGACAAAATAACCAGGACAAAAATAAGACACCACCCCACCTCAGAAAATGGACATGCATAGGAAAAGATATCACCAGTAATCAGGGCAATGCAAAATAAAAGTACTAGGCAATTATCATTAACATCCCTACCAGATTGGCAAAAATCAAATACCAAGTGTTGGTGAAAATGAGGAGCAATGCGAATTATCATACACTCTAGGTAGAAATGTGAATCAGGTATGTAGGAAGTTCAGCAATATCTGCAAAAGAGGGAGATATACATATCCTATGTCCCAGTAATTTTATCCACACACATACACACACACGCCTAGAGCAATATGTGTAAGAATGTGACGAGGGAGCAGAAGGCAAGCTGAAGACAAAGCATCAATAGCGCATTGCTTATAACAGAAAAAAAAGTTATCCAAATATCCACATTAAAATGGTCCAGTTGTAATACTGTCACACAATGGTATGCCATACAGCACAGAAAACAAGAGAGATGTGCAACCACACAAGTGGATTTCATAAATGTGTTAACCTAAAGAAAACAGCCCCAGGACAGAAGATGACCAATGAATCCATACAATCTGGTTACATTTTTAGAAAATTCAAAAAAATATAAAACCTGTTTAAGGATGCATGCCTATGTGGCAAAACTATAAAGAAAATCAAGTAATTACCAAAAAGTCAAGATACTGTTATGTCAGGAAAGGGGATGGAAAGATCTACCACGAAGAAGGAATATATATGGAGTTTCTGGGGGCTGACACTACTATATCTCTTGACCTAGCTGGTGGTTGCAATGGTGTTCATTTTATTATTTATTGACTTTATATTTGTTATCTGTGTTCCTAAGGAAAGGCTTAGAAAAGAATACACATAAACTCATCTGCATAAAATACCCAGAAAATTACACATGAGACTACTAACAGTTGCCTGCAGGGAAGGCACCTCTATGAGAGATTAAAGGACAGAAGAGGTAGAGGAAGTTCTTCATGTTTGGAGAATTGTTCACAGTACTGTTTTTCAACTACTACACTCAACCGATATGTAAAGCATGGGAGATTTTAACTAGGATAACAAGATATGTTACCAGTCTTCACAACGTCAAAGTACAAATATAGATGACACCAAGTAAAAGCTAGAAGTGGGTTGGGTGCCTGGGTGGCTCAGATGGTTAAGCGTCTGCCTTCGGCTCAGGTCATGATCCCAGAGTCCTGGGATTGAGTCCCGCATCGGGCTCCCCGCTTAGCGGGGAGCCTGCTTCTCCCTCTGCCTCTCTGTCTCTTATGAATAAATAAATAAAATCTTTTAAAAAAAAAAGCTAGAAGTGGGTTAAAAAATGGGAAAGGAGAGGAGCCTGGTGGCTCAGTCGGGTTAAGCATCTGCCTTCAGCTCAGGTCATGATCCCGGAGTCCTGAGATCGAGCTCCACATCAGGATCTGCTCTACGGGAAGCCTGCTTCTCCCTCTGCCTCTGCCTGCTTCTCTCTCTCTCTCTCTCTCTCTCTGTCTCTCATGAATAAATAAATAAAATCTTTAAAAAAAAAAAAAATGGGAAAGGATGGGTCCACTAATAGTCATACCTGCCAGAGTGGGGAGTTAACCAAAAAAAAATAGATATTTTAGTATGTTATGTAAACTGTAAAGGTAACAATGGAACTAAAAATAATGATATAACTTCCAAAAATCAGAATGGAGGGATTTATGGAGCAGTATAAGTTACCTAAATCTTCATTTATCACAGCAGGAAGTTAACATCTGCAGCTGAAAAATCAAGGATGAAGCATATTATTTAGAAATGTAAGTAACCACCTGAAAAGCTAAACACAAACAACAGGAGTGTGGAGCGGCAGCTGCATTTCACTGTAAGCCATTAGAGAACTGATTTTCAAGCATGGATAGATACTGCCTTGATTAAAAAAGAAAAAATAATTTTCTACTTAGAGCATATATATCTAAGGACATGAGAACATTTATTTGACCAGGTACAAAATATAATACTGACTGAATCCACAGTTGCTAAAAGGGCCAAAATTCAGGTCTACTAATGTAGGCAGAGCAGAGGAATGCAATTACTGAGATTATTGGATCAAAAGATGAAAATGAATACGGCCACCACTTAGTGACCCTTTATCAAAAATCCAAGCTAAGTACTATGCCATGGTGGAGACCAGAGCAGAAAACTACATAAGATCTCTCCACTTCTTTTCCTGGCACCTTCCAATTCATTATCCACAGGTCTGTAGTGTTAAGTCTTTAAAATACAAATCTGATTAAATACTCTTTGAAAAGTTGGTAATTAAAGATAAGCAGGTAAAGTAGGCTCCGAACATATTTGGAGAACTGATGGGAAGTCAGTCACAAGAAGTTGCCTTCCTCAGGTAGGCAATTAACAAGTTATTTTTAAGAAAAATGAGTAAATAGAAAAAAAGGGTTAAGAAAGTTCTACAAATTGAAAGAATACTCAATAATCTAGACTTGAAGCTAGCCATGAGAAAGTATCTTAAAACACATTAAAAAAAAAAAGTATCAAAAGGGTGAGAGGCCTAGGCTGATATACAGAACAAAAGAGAAAAATAGTGAAATAAATACATCCAGAAAGGCTTTCTTTTTTTTTAAAAGAATATCTCAACTGATTTTTTTTTTTTTAATTTATTTATTTAACAGAGAGAGAGACAGCGAGAGCAGGAACACAAGCAGGGGGAGTGGAAGAGGGAGAAGCAGGCTTCCCGTCGAGCAGGGAGCCTGATGCGGGGCTCGATCCCAGGACCCTGGGATCATGACACGAGCCGAAGGCAGATGCCCAACGACTGAGCCACCCAGGCGCCCCCAGAAAGGATTTCTGAAGGTAATGATGCTTGAAAGAGATAATGAGAACACTCTGGTATTGTAAAGGTGAGAATGAACGGAAAGTGCATGGCTCTCTCATATTCAATCAGAATATGTGCAGGGAAAAATAAGCTGACCAGATTTAGGAATTATTGGAGAAACAGATATCCATCCAAGAGAAGATAGCTAAAATAAGGTATCTCAAGTATTTTCTACTTCAGTGACAGACTTAGTACACGAGTTAATGCAAAATTCTTAAGAACAAACAGACACAGGCAAGTACACAATCTCCCAGTGGCAAAATAATCACTTTATACAGATTGTTGAAGAAGAAAAAAGAACAAGAAGCAACCCTTTAAATGCTGGCAATTGTTTCTGATCTCTAGCATTATGATGAGGGGAAGATTATATAGCATTATATGAGGGGAATGGAGATCAAAGTAGGAAACGAACTTCTCAATCCACCTAACCCCACTAGGATCTTTATATATTCCCTCTCATTTTTTTATAATTAGCAATTTTCAAGAAAAAGTTCTAGTTACCCAAGAGAATTCGAATTGCTGAATCTCACTAGATTTAACATATTAGTTTTTCCCAACTTAATAGGAAGTAGGGAGAAAGAATTATCCCTAAGAAGAACCAAGTAGCAGTTTTATAAGGTTCTGAACTCGTATCATTAGCATGGGATAGACAAGTGGAAATGATTACCCATTGACAGAGAACTCACCTTCCAGAAAAGCAAATTCATCCACAGCTTCTATTGCATTATCTGAAACACAAAGTAAAAGGACACCTGACTAAGTCTGGTCATTTGGACATCAACCCCTTGAAAAAACCACAACTCACATAATAAAGGGCATGACATTTTATGCAAATAAGGGCATTTATAAACTTTGTCCCCTGCTGTCATGAGATCCGTTTCTACTCCACCACCAAATCTTACATATCAGCTGTCTCTCTACAAAAGTAGGAAAACTCTAGGTAAACCCTGTTCAGTAGCAAGAACCTTTTTGCTCTGAAAGTCATCAAAGGAGAGCGTAGCAAAATAGAAGGGAAAGTGGGATTAAGGTATACAAAAGCTTACACATGCACAAGGGTTACCAACTAAAGAGGCAGAAATTAAACCCCCAGTTTCTGGGTGAAAAAGAAGTGTCAAGACTGGTACAACATGGCAAAAGGCATAAAGGGGTCTAGTCAGCTTTGGCAACACTTAAGACTCCTTTCATTACCTACCCCACCACCTCTCCAGCCACCCAAAGCATAGGGACTCTAAAGGTTAGGATCTTCTATCACTGTGGCCGTCCAACAGAAAACATCATAGGGAGAGACCCTGTAGCACCTCTCACCTTACAGTGGTGGCTTCTCCCCCAGTGAGAGGGAAGCCTCCCCCAGCCCTCCCTTCTTTGCCCCCAGGTACCGAATACCACAGTGACATTCTACCCAAATCTCTCCTCTGGAGGGTTTTCCTCTTTCCTTGTTGAGCACAGCAGTAGGCATCTTTTGCAATGGTCTCCACAAACAGTTCCTGTGAGGCGAACAAGGAGAACTGAATCAATAGGTTCTAGCACAATTCTTGTGAGCGCCTCTATTTGAGTGATGGGAGGGGAGTAAGGGGTGCTCTGGAGACCTGCTCAGTCCTGGACTTCATGAGGGCCTATTATTCCCTTTCCCCCTACCCCGGTAGCCCATGACACGTCCCTCATCCCTCACTTGTAAATCCACCCCACTCATTCGCTTGACACTCCTACAAGTTATGTTAGACACTCGAAATACCACTTAAAGTTGTTGTCCAAAGCCCTTATGACGAGGCAGGTGTGTTAACAAACCAATAAAACTACTGCAGGTATGTGACTCTTTCTCCCAGTCTTCCCTCCCACAGTTACGCCTCAGAATCCGGTCCCGGCCCCTCACTCACCCCCTTACGCTACGCACACACAGTCCAGACCCTCCTCCTCCCTCGCTTGCCCCCTCTCCAAGCCGCCCCAGTCGCCGCTACGCCCCGCCCCCCGGAAGGTTCCTGAAGCCCCGCCCCTCGCCACCTCACGGCCCCGCACCCCCGTGTGGCCCTGACGCTCCCGCCGCACCGCGGCTCGTGCCAGAATGAAGATGGCTTCCTGTCCCGCGAGGGTCACGTCGGGGTCCGCCTTCACCAAAGCCTTCACTCGCGCTAAAGGCAGCCTCGAGAGACGAGCCCCGGGCGCACTCGTCGGGGCTTGGGGCTGCGGAGCAGCCGTCTCCCCACTGGGCCCCTCCTCCTCCCGGGGCGTCCCGCTTCCAGCCGCCGCCGCCATCCGGGCCCCGAGCGTGCTGCGCGCGACCGCTGACTGTGCGCGCGCATGCGGCGCCGGCCCCTTTCCCGCGCGCGCTGCGGGCCACGCCCCCTGTGGGCGCGTGGCTCCGCCCTTTACGCGGCTGGACGCTCCCAGGACTCCGGGCGGGCGGGGACCGGCGCTGGACGTGGCGGCTCTGGTCCTGGTGAGCGCTGTCCGGCCTGGTTGACCCCAAGCACCGTCGTTCAGTGCCTGAATGTGGTTGAGCCGGGCCGGTGCCGGGAGGAGCTCCGTGGTCTGGAGAAACCCAGACCAAGCCTGCAAGAGCCTCAGTCAAGAGATAAGCGAGTGATAGGCAAGACTGAGAAGGGCAGGTGCCCGTGCGAGGCCCGGGGGAGATCAGCGTGCGAGAAAGAGGGTGCCGAGAGGGGCGCGAAATCTGGACCGGTGTCAAGGTGAACAAGATGCCCTAGAAGGAGGTAGGACCTTGGCAGGCAGAAATCGAAGAATTTCAGTCCTGACAGGAAACCACAAATAAAAAGCATAGAGGCTGTGAAGTGTGAAGTTGTGTCGATGACAAGCCGTCCCCGCTTGTTCAGTCGTGAGTTGCACCAGAGCACTGGCTCTCAAACTTTTTGTTCGCAGGCTCCCTTCACGCTCTTAGAAATTACTGAGGACCCCAAAGAACTTTTGTTTCTCTAGTTTATATTTATTGTGTTCGAAATTAAGAGTTTCAGAATTTTGTTTAAGATAAGTAATGCACGTTAACATTTTTATAACAAGTTTCCCCAAAAAAAAAGTCTAATGAGAAAATTCTCTTTAAGGTATGGCTTTAATAGAAGACCATTGGATTCTCTAGCTGCTTCTGTATGTTAACGTTACCACTTCTCGCACAGATCTGGAAATTCCTCTGCATCTTCTTGAGAAATGAGAATGAAAAAGGCAAATAACCTCTTAGTATTGTTAAGAAAATAGTTTTGACTTCACAGACACCCGAAAAGGGTATCTCAGAATACACACCACCCCTGATTAGTCCCCACACCAAAGTTTGAACTTGGCACAGAGAAACAGTTTATATTTGCAGTAACAGGTTTTGTGTGGTTTTTTTTTTAAGATTTTATTTATTTATTAGAGAGAGAGCGCATGAGATGGGAGAGGGTCAGAGGGAGAAGCAGACTCCCCGCTCAGCAGGGAGCCCGATGTGGGACTGGATCCTGGGACTCTGGGATCATGACCTGAGCCAAAGGCAGTCGCTTAACCAATGGAGCCACTCAGGCGCCCTGCAGTAACAGTTTTAATCTAAGTCAGTTCTAATAGCTCACATTTTTTAGCATTTCCTATGTGCATGGTTCATGCTTTTATATGTGCTTTTACATTTATGTATTTATGTACTGAGTAACAATTCTCATAATACCCTTTCTGGAGTAGTTAATATTTTAACTTTTACAGTTGAGGAAGACACGAGGTGGTTAATTTACCCACATCAGAATGCAGTCAAGCCAAAATGAGGTTAAATTAGATAGTATCTATCTGCATTCATCAATGATGTAGTAAACTCTACGTGACTGGATTAGCAGAGGCTCCCCTAGAACAGAACAAAAGGCCTGACCGAGATTAAAACCTTCAGAAGGGCGCCTGGGTGGCTCAGTCATTAAGTGTCTGCCTTTGGCTCAGGTCATGATCCTAGGGTCCTGGGATCGAACCCCGCGTCGGGCTCCCTGCTAGGCAGGAAGCCTGCTTCTCCCTCTCCCACTCCCCCTGCTTGTGTTCCCTCTCTCGCTGTGTCTCTCTCTGTCAAATAAATAAATAAAATATTTTAAAAATAAAACCTTCAGAAATGGGGTTGTGTCACTGAAAATTTCACTACACCCTCTTTTGGGACCTCAGTCCTGAGTCCCCCTTCAGATTACATTTGTGGACACTCCTGCACAGGGAAAGTTCCACACAAAATTCATAAAAGCACGGCCAGATTCTTGTGTCCCCTTGCAGTGGAACACTTCATGGAGCAATATCCTAACAATGTCAAAGCAGTTAAGTACTAATGGCTGCCTGAATTTTGAATTAACACAATAAATGAACACTGTGGGGACAGGAATCCCTTTAGACTTCCTGAAGGGTCCAGTCAAATTGGCTTTCCAGAAGGATTCTCTTTAACCCTTCTCTCTTCCCAGTTTTCTCTGTTATCCATATTTTCCCTACCTTTCTTCCACTTGCTCCTCTTCCCCTCTCTTTTCTCCCCCCAGTTCCTATTTTTTTTTCCTCATTAGTTGTGTATTTTACCACTTGGCCCAGCTCCATCCTCCTTTCCCTGGTTTTACTATGACTAATAGGAAGAGGTTTATTTAGACCACACGGGAGTTCTTGATATGAGCCGTGAAAGGCACAAAGTCGTGTTAAAAGGGGGAATCACAGGGTGCCTGGGTGGCCCAGTCAGTTAAGCGCCTGCCTTCGGCTCAGGTCGTGATCCCGGGATCACTTCCCTTTAGGATATGGCAGGGATCTATCAGGCATATTACTTAACTAGTGTTGATCAGACAATTCCTGATTGACTAAGATTCCATTTCTGGAAGAGCCAAAAGTGTCTTGGTCTGATGATGTAGGGCTTAGCATTAGTACTCCATTTTGGGCCTGTTGTCTTGTTTGTAACACTGTATTAAAGAGCAAGATTCACCTGAGTAAATATTCAAGATCTTACTGGCTTTATTCAACAATTCATGAATTGGGTAGCATCCAACCCAGCAGATAGATAGAAAGCCACTCTAAAGAGCTGTATAAGTCAAAGAGATTTTTATAGACCAAAGTGAGCAGGAATAAGGAAGTTTTACAGGACATTTGCTGATTGCCTAAAGCAGGGTTAGTTTCCCTGTATGGAGCAAAGGGAAGTCTTAGAGCCTGGTTAGATAACCTATGGTGATCAGGCAAGCCTTGATTGGTTGACCTAGGTCCTCCTTTTCTAGAAGAACCAAGCGTAGAAACTAGTTAAGTTTTGATTTGCTGACATGGGGCTTATCATGAGCAACTCCATCTTGGGCCTAATGTGGTTGCTTTAACAAATGTACATTTGTGAATGAATGAATCATTAGCTGTTGGTCATCTAGAATTGCTATCCCCTAAGGAAGCATGTCAGAACCTGGAGAGAGAATTGTTATTTGAAACTACCTACCAAGGGTGTCTAGTACAGTTGACCTTGAACAATGTGGGGGTTAGAGGCACCAGCACCCCTGCCCAGTTGAAAATCGACACAAACGGCACTTGTACACAACTATACTAAACTTGCCACCTACATCTATAAGGGTTGCCTCCACTAGACTAGAGATTGTGAACCCATGTGCCTTCCTGGGCCAAACTGATAATACAAATCAGAGCACAGCAAGCTATAGACTGGGGTCCATGTCCAGCCTGCCACTTTTTTTTTTTTTTTAAGTAAATAAAGCTGTTTGGAAATAGACCATAACCATGTGTTTATGTATTTTCTATATAACCTAAAGGTGACTGTAGCAGGGATTTACCATTATGGAAAGAAAAGCACTCTGTCTCAGGATTGCCCTTACTGCCATTTACACAATTCTTTTTTTCTTTTTTAAGATTTTTTATTTATTTATTTGACAGAGAGATAGAGAGCACAAGTAGGCAGAGGGAGAGGGAGAAGCAGGCTCCCCGCCAAGCGGGGAGCCCGATGCGGGACTCGATCCCCGGACCCTGGGATCATGACCTGAGCCAAAGGCAGCCGCTTAACTGACTGAGCCACCCAGTCGCCCTGCCATTTACACAGTTCTTATGTAATCTTGTGCCCAAGAAGAATTAATCAATGAGCCAATTAATAATAAGTGGTAATTAAGATGAAAATTATAAATGGAGAAAGTAATTTAGCATAGTTCAAAGATGGGGTAAAGGGTCTCTGATAAGTGCCCTCAAATATATATTTTGAATGAAGTAAGGTAAAATTACAAGAATAGAAGATACCTGTGTGGCTATTGAGGAACTTGGTGAGGCCTCCCTCAAGTATGTGTAAATTAAGGAAATAAAGTTATGCTCTGAGAAATAAGCTCTACAACTACATGAAACAGATCAGAACAGATACAAAGTCATCTTAAGGAGACAGAATAAGTCTGAAAGTGTAAGCAAAGAGAAAGATTAAAAGGGCCATCAAGGGCACCTGGGTGGCTCAGTTGTTAAGCGTCTGCCTTTGGCTCAGGTCATGATCCCAGCGTCCTGGGATCGAGTCCCAAGTCGGGCTCCCTGCTTGGCGGGAAGCCTGATTCCCCTCCCCCCACCCCGCTTGTGTTCCTGCTCTTGCTATGTCTCTGTCAAATAAATAAATAAAATCTTTAAAAAATAAATAAAAGGGCCATCAAAGCAAGGCTGGTTGGCCATGAAAGCATAGAAAAAGGAGCATCATGAATGGTGAATCTCAGCAGAGCCCTTTTAAGAAATGCCCACTAGAGGATGGCCCCTCAGCTGACAGCTGTGAATATTCTGGTACCATTGGTATGGCCATTCTTATAGTAAAAAATGGCAGTGTCAGGCTTTCCCAGCTTAATGCCATTATAAATTTGAATCATCTAACTTGCTCCCCTTATTTGGATTCCATGCTCACTCACTAAGCAACCTTCTAACAATTTGCCTTCCTCAGAGGTCTGTCTTCAGTGAAAGAATGTGCCAGCCATGTGGAGACAAGTAATCCAGACACAGAAGTGGTTCTAATCCTCTTGTGAATTGATAAGTAGACATTCTGGTTTCATGCATCTGCTCTCTGAGCTTAATTAATAAGAGAGCAATGAGATGGATCCACATTTAGTATGCTGACAGATCCAGTTTCTAAACATACAGGGTGGGGACCAGACCCTTGGCAGAGGGAATGCTACCGTATGAGGTATTGGGAGACGACCAAATCCTCATCCTCTGATATCCCTACACTGTCTTTGCAATGAAATTCCTCTAAGCTTTGCATCTGTCTGCTGACTCTGAGAGCATTGATGTATAGGGAAAGAACCAGATGTGGGTTGGCAAATCTCTGATCCAGATTAGAGAAAGGATACTAGAGTGAATTCAGAGCATACATGACCCTTTTCACTAACCAGCTACACCAACTCCTAATGTAATTGGCGCCTGAAGATGTTCTTTGATCTTGGCCCGCTTTTAGTTAATTTCAGTTAATAAAATGCCATTTGTGTCTCTGGGTTGTGATTATTAAGTATCTTTTCATATCTGTCAATTTTCTCCACTATAAAATGAGGAGACTAACACCTCATCTCATTGATTTACTAATCATTCATTCAACAAATATTTATTTATTTATTTATTTATTTATTTATTTATTTATTTATTTGAGAGAGAGAATGAGATAGAGAGCATGAGAGGAGGGAGGTTCGGAGAGAGAAGCAGACTCCCTGCTGAGCAGGGAGCCTGATGCGGGACTCGATCCAGGGACTCCAGGATCATGACCTGAGCCGAAGGCAGTCGCTTAACCAACTGAGCC